TGTTTCAGTCATTTGCCAATTAAAATTTGATTGCTCACAAGTGATGGAATAAGTGAACCACACACACAATATCTCCTTACAAAACATTTTTATTTTGTTAATGTACAGGATTATCCTTGCATATCATGCAGCAGTTCATGACCATTTTTTAGGATCTACTTACTACTCACCCTATAAACGTTCCACTACTATTGGATATATAAAGGCACATACTACTAGAAGCGCGAGTTGGTTTCTAAACATTACACCGTAGCCAGGATTTCTTATTTCTTGGGAAGGGGGTTTAAAAGTATATGTATATTATAGGGCACATATAACTGTATTGACATCCCAGATAGCACACCAGAGAAATTGCCAACTTGGGCAAAGGTCAGGCAAACGTAAGGGCCCATTTTCGGCCTAGTTAGGTTTTGCACCACGGCGTTCATCAGTGCCTATGTACGATTCCTAACTATAGCCCAAGAAGGGCGATACTCGGGTATGCCAAAGTTTGGCTATTCTCTGGTCCGCCACAGAAGTGTTGAAAGAGTGCCATACTTGAGCCATAACTGCCAGAGCAACGCCTAATTTGGGTATTTCAACCATGCCAAAGTCCGGCTCTTCTCTGACACGCCGCAGGAGTGCCAACGTGGTGCCATACTTCAGTCATAACTGCCAGAGCAACGCATGGCAGTTATGGAGTAAATTAGGAGTAAATCCTAATTTGGGAATTCGGGGCATGCCGAAGTTTGGCTCTTCTCTGGCTAGCCACTAGAGTGCCAAAGAAGTGCCAAAAGTGCCAAAAAAAGCTCAGCTGTCTGCCGAAGTTTGGAATTTCTCTGGTGTGCCACAGAAGCGCTCTTTTACGCGCTCCAGAAGACAAAAAAATAAGCGTTGAAAACGCGATGGTCAGATCTCACCATCTGCGTTCCCGCGCAGCACTGCGATTCTTGTAGTGCTGCTGAAAGTGTAGTGCCAGTAGCTGCTGAAAGTCGGTTCCAATATCGCTCAAATGTCTAGTTTTGCACCACCGTTCACTATCGGGCAGGTATCGCCGTACAGTCGGCTTTCCCAGGTCTTATATTTGCGCAATATTGTACGAATACTGTACGATGCTTCTGCTTCGTATTGGTCGGACGTCGTGCAAGTGTGTGTTGTATAGGACGTTGCATATGATTTTCTCACATATCAATAACTTACACGGACGAACGAAGTTTTTCCGAGCACTGCCAGAAGTTTATGAAATCATTATCAAGCCGCTAAATATATTCTCGTCATATTTACAAAGGTCATACTTCTCTGTAAAATGAAAAGCAAATCACAAAAGATAACTAGCAATGATTTCATGCCATGCAAAACTCATAAATTCAAACACAAAAAACCGCGAAGATTGAGAGGAAATCGGAACTAATATCAGAAGATTTTTGCAGTGTACTTAATATTAAAAGCGATATCATGCAATCCCTGATACATACATAATTTGACTAGGACAGCCCAGAAACACTGTCAAGAAAGAAGGTTGCGCACATTCAACGGACACCTTGTCGTCGGCAAGGAGCTGTTTTTGTCGAATCGCGTCCAAAAACAAACCACAAGAATTCCACGAACGTATTCCGGCTGTTTACAACCAAAAAAGCACGGCCGCGTCTGCAACGCACGACAGCAACAGAACGCTGAAAAGCGCATTTCGGAAACCGGACCTGCGTGGCCCGCTTATTTCTATAATTTGGCAAACGGCGCAAACAACAGCCCCAGAGATCCCATCAGCGCGACAGAAAGTCACGTGACAAATTGTCGTCCAAGCGTTTTTGTACTGCGCGTCCTACGCAGTGAGGTCACGCGTTTCGCTCCACCCTTCTGATTTGCTTAATGCGGCCGTCGCGCTCACTGAGAGCCACACGAAAACACAAGAGCAGGTGGAAAGGCTTAGCAAAAGGCGAGGTCGAAGGAGGACGAACAATGTAGCTAAGCTCACTCTGCATGTTTGACTGAAAGTGAAGATATCTATATCTCGTACCCAAGACTTGGAATGTCACCTTGGGTTAGGGGGACAGGCGGGCAGGGGGGGAGGGGGAGGAGTGAAAGACTGTGAGGGAAAGGAGTGCCTGGGGTGATGCTGTCAAATGATTCAGATTAACTTTAAAAAAATCGTCTCCGCCAGGATTCTATCTAGTTCCCCGGTGTGAAGCGGGCGCTATACCTCAGAGCCACTGTCGCCCTCGCTTTTTGTTATCGCTAGGATTTCACAGTGCTCAATCGCAATGCAAGGCACTCATAGAGCTACGCTCGCTTTTGCAATGCGCGGCCTAATAATGGTATCTGTTGAGGAGACGTACGCTCATCAGTCTCGCGGAGAACTTGCTCGTTAGCAGCAGTTTCTGCATTGTCGAACCATTCTCACTGCGCGTGCCGATATCGGCGTGTGTACCTACGCGCGAACACAACACTCCGGCGAAATCTGCGTTTGCAAAGCCTGGTCCAGCCGCGGCAAAACATTCAGCCTACCTTTGGCCTGGAGAAATCAATAAACACCCAAAATAATATCAAAGGTGGCGAGCAGAATAAAACTTGATTTCTATTTAATTAAGTAGTACACCACCCACGTCCATCTAATGCCTCATCAGCTGAACTGCTAGGCAGTAAGCCAAGTTTTGGCACTTGGTTGGCGACTTCATCCAGTAGTTGCCACATGACTGCCAAACTATCAGAAAGCGAAGCCTAACTTTGGCACTTGTTTGGCGACTTAGACCCAGAGATGCCAGATATCAGCCGAACTATATGGCACAAAGCTTAGCTCTGGCACGTCTTTGGCGATTTTGGCCCAAAGGTGCCACATGACAGCCCAACTATTGAAAAGTGAAACCTAATTTTGGCAATTTGTTTGGCAATTTCGGCACAAAAATGTCAAATATCAGCCAAACTACCGAGCAATAAGCCTAACTCTGGCATTCGTTAGGCGATTTAGGCCCAAAGATGCCGGATAGCAGGCGAACTAAAAGGAAGTGAAGCCTAAGTGTGGCACTTGTTTGGCGAATTCGGGCCAAAATACCCACACTCTTGGAAAGGAAGGACAGGTTTGGCTCTACTTTGGCTTCTGCGGGCTTTTCAAGTCCCTAAACTACCAGACAAAAGCCAAATTTTGGCCCAGAACGCTGTGCTACCTGCGATTACTGTAATGAAATTACAGTAATTGCATTACTTTTAGTAGTAATGGGTAATGTAATGAATTACTTTCCTGTATAGGCAATTTCGCAATGTAATGCATTACTTTGAAGCAGCAATTTCGAGAAATTCACAAAATTCCTTTTGTAATTACTTGCGTTTAAAACGGAACACAATTGAAAAAGGACATATCATTTATCTACTGTTGAAGAAAATTAAGTAAGAGCGTATGGTAAAATGAAATAGAAAACATTTAGAACTTGAGCTCTAATCCTCAGACGTGGGTCCAAGAGACACGTGAAGACGGCCTCGAACGGAAAAGATTTGGGGACATAGCTGGAAGATCATGGCTGCTGAAACTGTAAACAAGACGGGTCGGGTGCTACCCTGTCTGGGATGTTCCGGCTTTACAATACGCAGAACACATTATAACAAGGCAACACAATTTTAAAACCCTAAAAGGCGAACAAAGAAGGGGGCACATCGGTAATTGGAATGCTTAATTTTCAATGACGCTCGACTTTAGACATCAATGAATCACCTGTCCACGAAGAAATAGTAAATGATTGAAATCGCGAAAACTTAGCCCACAGCTGCCGAATAATCCTCAGACGTGGAAACAAGAGACGCACGAAGACGGCCTCAAAACGCAAAGTTTGGGGACATTTTTGCAAGGTTAAGGCTGCCAAAACTACAAATAAGACGAGTCGAGGGTGTTACCTTGTGTGGGATGTTCCGGCTTTACTATATGCACAGCACAATTCAGCAAGCTAAACATATATGAAAACCCAACAAGGAGAACTAAAAACAAGACACACCGGTAATTCGAAAGCTTAACTTTTCACTGAGACTCAACTTTAGACATCGAAGAATCGCCTCTCAACGAAAAAGCCGATGATTGACGTCGCGAAGGTTTTGTTCTACAGCTGCAAAATAATCCTCACACGTGGGACCAGGAGAGGCGCGCAGACGGCCCCGAAAGGCAAAGCTTCGGGGATTTTGCTGGATGTCACGGGAGTGCCGAAACCACAAATAAGCCGTGTCGAGGGTGTGAACCTGTCTGGGCTGTTCCGGCTTTACAATGCGGAGAGCACAATGCAGCAAGACAAACACTGTCGGCAATTAGGTCAGCTGAGCACGGAGAAACAAGAACAGGAAGGAAAGGACTGGACAATCACACCGCTGACGAACAACTGACTTTTACTTTTTCCTCATCCCAGCCGAGGCCCTTTTCTCTTCGTCCTACGGCACATTAAACACGTTAAAAACAACTTTTTATCCTACCACTCAAAGGGGTAGGCTAAATGGTAGTTGTAAACGTGTTTAATGTGCCGTAGGACGTAAAAGAAAGGATCTACGCTGGGATGCGGAAAAAGTAAAAGTCTCTTCTTAGTCAGAGGTGTGATTGTCCAGTCCATTCCTTCGTGTTCTTGTTTTTCCGTGTTAAAGGGATGCTGAACCGAAGACCATAATCTAAATTCTTTGTTGTTTTGGTATTTACAGCACACGAATGGCTCTTAAATTACGGTACTTGAAATAATAAAGTTGTCTAAAGTGTATGATTTATGGAAATAAATATTCTAAGGTGCACCTGGTGAGTTTCTTTGAAAGCTCGTTTAGTGACGACACTATACCTGTAGTACGCAGAGCGCGGCTATGGTGAGCTGCTCCGACCTACCTCGTTGGCTCCGACGTGCGCTCACGCCACGTGGTGGCGCGACGAAACAGAAATGCGATGTGCGAACCCCATCCCGAAACGCAAACGATGAGGTATATTTTTAAAAGAAAAGCAATTTTATCTGATACATTTGTCGAATGGTGTTTATTATGTTGTTTTTCACACGACACCTATGCGGCTCCGAACGGCCTAGCGAGCGTGGCCAGTGGCGAGCAAGCGGCATCTTGGCGACATCAAACATCACGCTGTCGAAGTCACCGTGGTCGAAGCGAAGTGTAACCACGTGTAACGGCGGCGCGCTTTTTAGCTCTGCTTCAGACCAAGGTACCGAAGCTCGACACCTCTTCGGTTCTTCCGACCAACGCCGATCGTTCTGGCGTTCTTAGTCTGTTGAAGCGGGTGGCGAAAGCAACGATGCAGCAGTCATCCGAGTTGGCTAAGCGTCTGGCGCTCAACTAGTGTGATCCAGCGGTTTCGCAAGATATGCCGCTGCACTGTGCAGCGCAGGACTGTATGAACTGCAGTTCTTACAATGGCAGGCTTGTGCATACGTTTCCAACCGAGCCCACGTTGCGAAAGTTATGGATTCGCGCCGCCCGCCCTTCACAGCCAACCTGGCTGCCCTCGAAGAGCGACTGGCTATGCTCAGACCACTTCGCAGACGAAGACTATCACATGAGCCCGACGCTACTACGGAGCCTCGGCCTGCCGACGAAACGTAGCAGGTTGAAACCTGGCGTGGTGCCGTCGCTGTTTACACGGAAACGCAAGCAACAGCAACCCGATGGCAACGAGGAAAAACGGCGACGGAAAGAGGTGGGTTGTTTTCGTAACGGCTGAAATATATTTTTGTACTCAATTGCTCGGTTAATACAGCGGCTGGGATTCGATTCCGAAACGTTTTTGTTTTGTTCTGCTAGCAGGTAGCTGTCTTGTGGTATTGATATTACAAATTCCGCAGCATAGGTACACTATAGAGGACCTTGTAACTAGCACTGTGTTTGTGATGTACAATTGTTGCACGTTTCCTAGAACAGTGCTTTGCTCTACTTTGCACCAAGCAGCGCTCTTGGTACTTACACACGCGAAGTGCTTCTGCTTACCATTTCTAGATTATTGATGACCTGTTGGGAAAGCTACCACAAGCAACAGCCACAGACACTGTTGAACAAGTTGACATGCCATCAACCTCTTCGACTACTAACAAGACAAGGCAAAGCCTTGACCCTCAACATGAGCCACCACATGATGAAAGTGCTGGCATCGAGGAACCTTGTTTCAGCTCAGGTATGCACGCTGGCTGAAACCGCTCTGCTGCCGCCTCGTTTTAGACATATTTCAGTCACCTTTATATAGGGAGTTGGCACAGAACGCCAAATTGTTTCATTAGCCAAATAGAAGACGTTATGCAGTTATTAAAAGTGTTTCTACCACCAGTTTTATTCTTCCTCTGACTGTAGACCAGAGGTCGGCAATTTAGGTCGCCCTCACTCACCGTCACAGCCACACTCGCCTAAGCACTTCACTCACCCCAAGCTTGGCGCAGTATGGCCATAGTAGCTTTGCGCCATAAAGCCCGTAATCAACAACCTTCACTCACCCTCACCCTCACACCTACACTCACCTTCAGCCCCTCACTCACCCTCATCCTCACAGTCACACTCACCTTCAGCCCTTCACTCACGCTCACTGAACCTCGCGGTCCTCATGCACCATGGCCCTCATGCCCCTCATGCACTCATGGCCCTCACGCCCCTCACCGCCCTTATACCCCTCACGGCCCTCACACGCTCATGGCCCTCACGCCACTCACCGCCCTCACGCCGCTCACTCACTCATGGCCCTCACACCCCTCACCGCCCTCAAGCCCCTCACCGCCCTCACTCACTCATGGCCCTCACACCCCTCACGCACTTACCGTCCTCATGGCCCTCACGCACTCATAGCCTTCATGCACTCACCGCCCTCACGCACTCATACCCCTCACGCACTCATGGCCCTCAGGCCACTAAGGCCCGCTTCATATGCAGCAATTTCGCCCAGAAACTTGACTTCGCAACATCATGCAGCAACACGGGCCGCCCATGTTCACATGCAGCAACCAATTGCTGCAATTTGCCATCGTCGTCATGAAATTTTAGTTTTCTTTCACTATTTAGACATACAATTACACGCTATGAACGTGTTTTTATGCATTTCAATCTCGTTGAGAATACTAATGCATCTTTCTGAAACAGTTTATTTCCAAAAACGATCAATTTCAAACCAGAACCAAGTTTTTGTTGTCATCATCACCGGAACAAGGTATCACATCAAAATATTGCGTCTCTTATTGGATACAGCCGCTTCAAACGTGTCCGAATTGCTCCGAATTGCTCGCTTGTTTCGAGCCGGACCCGATCTCAGAAATTCGTGTTGATCTAGGGAAAGCTAGGAAACAACCTGCCAGCAACACCAAAATTGATGAGAAAGTTGCTCCGTCTGAGGGGGGCCTCACGCACCCACCGCCCTCACGCACTCATGGCCCTCACACCCCTCACGCACTCACCGCCCTCACGACCCTGATGTCACTCACGCGCTCACTGCCCTCGCGCCCCTCTGGCACTCATGGCCTCGCACCCCTCACGCACTCACCGCCCTCACAGCCCTCATACCCCTCACGCACTCATGGCCCTCACGCCACTCACCTCCCTCACGCCCCTCATGCACTCATAACCCTCACTCCCCTCACGCACTCACCGCCCTCACGGCCCTGACGCACTCACGATCCTGACAGCCCTCGAGGCCCTCACTCGCCCTCACACTCATGAATTTCCTGGTTCAGAAACTCACTCACCCTCACCTCACCTGTGAAGATGAGGGTGAGTGAGGGCCCTCATGAGTGAGGTTTGCCGCAGTATGCTATAGACCCTTGTCATGTTTACAAACAGAAGCTGCCTCCTGCGTCCCAATGAACTTCCGGTCCGTCATTTTTGTGAAACGTCCAGAGCTTCATTATGCCACGAGTTCTAGGATGCACAAACGACGATGCTTACTAGAGCGCATTCTGCCACTCTAGTAAGCGTATACAGGCACCCGGTGGCTTACAAGTGTATTGAAAAGTCTTCAAGTGTTCTTTTGAAAACCAGTCATTTATGTGGACATCGTAATTATGGGTTGTTTGGCGTTTCAAGGTGCCTCGTTAGGATGGGAACTGATTCGCTTCTGTATGACCCGGAAGTTCGCTGGGATGTCAACTAGCAAAAGCCCCATTTTGCAGAGTAATGCAGGATAGTGTCTATACTTCCAGTGGTGTCAAAAGTGTCTGAGGGCTGAGGTTGTCCCCACCCCCTTCACCCACATTGTTTACAGCTGTCTGAAATTTCGGGGGGTCTAGAGCCCCCCCCTGCCCCCCTGTTTCGACGCCACTGTATTGGGGAGGAGATTGAGCATTCGCGCCACTAGCAGCCTGCTGCAGCTGTGTGGACAACAAACCTAATTTTATTGTTTGTTGTTGATCAGAGTAATCGAAGATGATGATTCGAAGGCCGCTCCTCGTGCGTCCAGAGCACTGGTGAAAGCGAAGCGCTCGTGCTTAGACCATGCTAGGCGAAATTCAATTTGTTTGTTTTGCTGTGTTAGTAAGCACCGCGCTGTGTGGACAACAAGCTCGATAAAGCGCCCCTATAGTTCGATCTCCTGCCCAATACTTCTTAAGTTAATTTTGTGGAAACCTCATACTTTGTTTCATGTGTCTGGCAACGAATCCTAAAATTTCAACAGGCAACATTGATGCAGTGTACGTAATTACAGTCACAAAGAGGCGATTAGAAGATTGGTGGAAATTATCTAGGGAAAATTGGATGATGCACAACTAACTAGCACAGCTGGGGACAGGCGGGACAGAGGAAAATTGGGACTCCCTCCCATGTGGCTCCGGCCCAAAGTCTCAACCCTGTCTCCCAGTGAGTCCGGTGCAGGGGTAACGCCGACAAGGTTTGACCAAAGGAAAATTGGCGGCTCCCTCGCCCAGGGTGAAGAGGCGGAGGCGGGTGTGATGTTATTAGTTTTTTTGCCTGATCCCCCAAAAGTCACCCTGGTGATATCCCGCACTACCTGGCAATAGTTAGGGGGGAAAAAATTGGCTTAGAACGGCGGGAGGAATCAAATGTTTGTCTTTCCTAGGCTTAGGCTAGATGGCGCAAGCTACCGCTTGCTGCAAAAGGTATAGTCAATAACATCCATCCACCCATCCTTGGGTAAATTTTAATCTCTTCAGTTATGGCCACACTCCTTTTGGAACAAAACTGAGATGGCCTAGATTTCTGCTGAGTGCACCGGTGAATGATAGTTTTGTTTTGAAATGCACTTTTATTTTCTTTGCTACGGACAGCCTCCTCCCTCAGTAAGGCTGCACAAGCTCGACCTGATCTTCTGGATGCTGCTGCGCAAGCTCGACCTGATCTTCTGGATGCTGCTGCACAAGCTCGACCTGATCTTCTGAATGCTGCTACGCAGTCCTCAGACCTCTACTTGCTCAGAAACGCAAGTATGTATCTATAAAAAGCAGATGAACAGAAGTTAAGAATATTTAATCTATTGTAATACATTCCAATGACACTTGCAGGCACACAAGTCATCATCAAGAATCCGTCGCGATACAGCCAAACGGATCCTGTCCTTGTGAGGCCACGTTGCTCATCACCAAATCACCTCCTGCAGGCACAATTAGATTGGACGTTGCCTACAGTGCTGACACAGTTGCCACAACCTCCAATGCCGCCAGAACCATCGGCGCCACTACAGCCAGAAGTGCCACCGCAGCCGCACACAGTTACTAGCGAACCAGCCATCCCAGAAGATTCCGGCGAGGAGTCTTTTACAGAGCTGCCTGAGCAACATTTGGAAGCGGACACAACATATCTTCCATCCGACACAAGCCTTCTGATGATGTCAGGCACCAGCTTTCTAAGGTTTGTATCTGTACAATACATGTTATGTGTAGTATCGAGCATGAAAGCATGGCACTTGTCGTGTATTCTTTCATATACTTCGCTTTATGCAAATCTTTGTTTTGCATTGTAGGCCAGCATTCTACTCCACTTTAGTAGTGAGGTTATCCTACAATCTTTTGCATGTTTCTCAAATCTGACTTCCAGGGATCACCAGACAAGCACATCTTGTGCCAGCCCACTGGACAAAGACAACAGTGCTGCCATAAACGACCACCAGACAAGCACATCTTGTGCCAACCCGCTGGACCAAGAAAACAGTGCTGCCATAAACGACCACATCTTAGAAAGAAAGTTCTTGATTTTTGAATCTTCCTTGGACGAGCTCCTTGCTAAATGTCCGAAGTGTGCCGCACCCTGCCACACTATAGATAAGAAGGTCAAGGGGACATGCCTCACAGTACGAAGAATCTGCAACAATGGCGATGTGCACTGCTGGAGCAGCCAGCCCATTGTGAACAGGAGGCCACTGGGCAACATACTCTTCGCTGCAGTGACTCTCTATTCTGGATGCATTGTGAAGAAGGTCCTGCGGCTTTTCACCCAAATCGGAGTGCCCTGCATCTCATATAGAACATTCTTCAAGGTCCAGGCTGCCTTCCTTCTGCCAGCCATCAGACAGGTTTGACATGTTTCCAGTTGTTGCTGACACCATACTTTTCGAAATATGGGTTTTTGTCCCAGATGTGAGGAAATGCTCAACCATAATTTTAGGCTTGACAGTCCAACTGCGAGGTAGGGGAGAAAACGGGCTGGGAAGCAGTCAGGTTGAGATGCATCCACTAAACCTTTAATGATGTATCAGGTCGGCTTGGTCTTTGTAGAAGCTGTCTGCACAGGCTTTGCCTGTGCACAGGACAACTGAGTCCGCTTGCAAACTATCTGCTTACCTATGAGGTGAGAGGTTGGACAAGCAACATGTGTACTGCAATATAAATTACCCGTTTGGATTTTGGAGCACCATTTTTAACTACTATGAGACTTAACGAACAGAAATATGCTCTACTTCACTTGAAAGGACCATGCCAAAAAAGATGTACCAAGAGCTTTGATGCTCGTGTTATTAGCATAAATGCTGAAACATGTAACACAGCATTCAGGTTCCTGAGGTGCGTTGACACGGTCCTAACTTTTTATGATACAGTGGACTGTAGAGTGGAACCAACGCCTTTACAGTACAAATCAAATATTGGCTGTCTTTGTGACGGCAATCTTCTGAGTGTGTGTTTTCCTGGCTTGCTCTACAGCAAGCCAGGAATATTTCCTCGTTTGCTGTAAAGCTGCTGTCGAATAGAGCCTATGGTTGTTCCCTAGCTGGCTATTAATGTCTCATAATTAAAAGGAACAAGTTGCCCATTATCTTGAACATATACCTGCTACATTTATGGTTTGAAAGCTAGTCAGAAAAAATAGAAACTACAGTGGTCTATCTCGTAACTGAGAGTCGGTGTAAGCATGAAGTGATTTGCAGGGCCACAGGTGCTAGTGCAATCCGTGTATTAGCGAGTGCACCCTTTCCCCAAGTGCCCCCCCTCCCCCCTGGCACGTCCCCAGCATTGTCAAGAACTAGGCGCCCAAAATCCAACGCTAGCTTTCATCGAGTGTCAGCCATTGAATCTGAATGTATTGAGCCCCCATTCAATCAGCTTCTACCTTGGGCCCCTGTTTTGCGGGGTTCGTGGAATCCTATACTCTGTTTCACCCTCAGTCTGACCGCATTGAAAGCTGAGCCAATCCAGCGCCGCGAGAGTATCACGCGACCTTCTCATTGGGCGGTGTGACATGCGGAGCTCTAGATTACATGACACTTTTAACGCTGGATTAGATTGTATTGCTTGTAGCATGCACTGCGCTCGGACTGAAGGTGAAATGGAGTATGGCACGTGCGCCACAGTAACGACCAGAAAGTGTACATACCAACCTCGTGGCGCTACAGTATCCAAAATCTATGGTGTGAAAAGCTCTTTCCACATCAGCAAAGTGCCCTGCATACAAGCAAGCTCTCGGGTCATGGTCGTGCACAGTTGACACGAAATTGATAACTAGGGCGCTCACAATCCCTGGCAAGCTTCCATCGAGTATCGGTCATTGAATTGGAATTTATCGAGCGCATATTCATTGTCTTCTTTCTCGGGCCCCTGTCTCGCGATGCTCCTAGCATCCCAGAACACGCACCACAGTAACAAGCAGAGGGTGTACCACCCTTGTTGCGCCATAGCCACCAAAATCGCCGGTATGGCGATTTTGGTGGCCATAGGGCTACATATCTTTAACACATCAGCAAAGAGGCCTGCACACCAGCAAACCCACGGGTCATCATAGTCAAGCACAGCTGACCCAAATTTTAATACCCTTGTGAAGTACTCGTGGGATAGCTCTGAATAGAGAGCGCTCGGCTCCCAGCCAGCTGACCCAGGTTCGATACCTATCAGGGGATGAATTATTTTTACTCCTCAGTGAGTGAACACACAGTTCGAAAGGTTTCGGATATATTTCCAAAGGGTTTTGGAATCACTTTTGACAATATTTCGTGAACGGTTTCAGAGACGGTTTGGCGATAACGAGAGCTATAAGCATTTCATGATTAATATATGTTTCTTTGCTGTTGGCAACTCCCTCTTCTAATAAAGTGGAAGAACCTTGGTCTGATATTCTAGATGCTGCCGTTTGTTGTTCATTAACAAAAGCTTTATTAAATTTTGTCCTACCAGGTATGGAACAAACAGCAGACTGAGCTCTTCAAAGAATCCACTGGGCGAGGGCTGGTCCTTGCATGTGATGGGCGATCAGACTCCCCTGGGCACTCGGCCAAATATGGTACATACACGGCGATCGACTCCAAGACAAAAAAGGTTCTGCATGTCGAAACAGTGCAGGTAAAGTTCCCCCGGGGGTGCACATTCATTCGGATTTGTTAAACTCATAACCTCAACCCCTTTTTACTTTTTAAGAAAGAAATTGTAGCTTATGTTAATTTGGCCGATGCGACGCTAGGTTGTGCATGTTATAGGACAGTGGTTCTCAAATGGGGGTCCGCGGACCCTTAGGGGTCCGGGAAGACATTCTAGGGGTCCGCAAAGCCCTGCCTCATCAGTCAAGTTCGGCAATAAAACTTATCTTTTTTCAGATCGAGAAGGAATTTTTCCATTTTCGGGCTAGTTTTCTTGTGTGCATGTCAATAAGAGGTCTACTTCGCACTAGCCCTTAGTTAAATCCATTTATTATGTCATTATTATATTTAACCTATACATTCGCCCTCCCCTCACCACGCGAAAGGGGTCCTCATTATCTCCGCTTATCCACAAGGGGTCCGCGCAACATCAATAGTTGAGAACCACTGTTATAGGATTATGTCACTCTTCCTGAAACTTTCCGTCTGATATCCATGACAGGTACAGAGGAAACAAAGGCTCATTTGTGTTTGTGAAAATAGTTGAAGTATGAAATGCTGAGAACAAAGACATAATGGGGAGGCAACATCTGACAGGTTGTCCTGTTTATCAGCTTTAGTTAAGTTGGTTTGGATACCTCGACGTTCACTGTGAGAGCACAATGTGTAATTTTTTGTTGCAGTCCAACGAAACAAAGGGGAGCTGGGCTATGGAGCTCGAGGGACTGAAAAGAACCCTTGTGATCTTTGAGGCAAATGGCCTAATTGTGGATTCCGTCATCACCGATCGCCACAGCATGATTAAGTGTTTTCTGGCCAAGGTCCATCCCCACATTTTGCACAGGTTTGACTGCTGGCACGTTGCAAAAGGTAAGCCATAGGTAGAGTTCTGGTTTATCAAGTACCACCTAAAAAAAGTCTAGGGATACCTGTAATTTTTACACAATGTCCTAGCTCTGCCTGTCATTGGGGCAAACATGAACGATGACAAGAGAGTACAGTAGGCCTGCATTTATTAGTGTAAACTTTTATTTACTCTAGCACGTCCTATGGCCATTGATCTGGCCGTAGGACGTATAAAAGGCCAACAAGATAGTTTCGCACGCGAGATTACCATACTTTTTTAAATGTAGGCCTACTTCCTTCTGGCACTGTTCTTTAAAATCGGGGAACGACCTGCAATTGTAAAATGTTCTGACCGCGTTGAGCTAACAGTAGACGTGGGAAAGATGCTCCCTCACGTCAACCACTTCTCCGGTGCGATGTGGGGATACTTCACACGAGCAGTGCATTGCAATTGCCGCGGTTTGCAGAGCTATCTGGTTGATTGTTTTCGGACTCTGGATGTTGTGCCACTACTGTATGAATGATAAAGCCAAAACAACACCGGATGGTGACATGCCACTCGCCACGAATTTGGGGGGTGGGGGAGTTCCTTTGTAACAGAAAGCTTCAGTTTCAATATCTCCCAACTGTTGATAGCCTCCTGTGTGAGCCAGTAGTAAGCAATACTAGACCCTTTTATAAATTAAGTCCGGTCACTTCGTTCACTATCACCATCGGTGTTTCTATACATGCTAATGACGGCCTTTTGATAGTGGCATAGGATACCATCTCAAGACTGGCGCTTTGAAGCGGTCTTTTCCGGTACAATACCTTGCTCTAGAAAAAGATGTTTCAAAAGTAAGGTGCACGTGACAGCTCGTGTTTATAGCCTTTGTGGCCCAGTGCTGTCCTGTTAGACTTCATAACGTTGCATGTTTATGTCAAGGTTGGAATCTGAGTCACCACGGCATTTGTGCTTTTGTATGCCGCATCGCAATTGATTCAGGGAGTGACCTAACGTGCAACGTACTAAACATGTACGTCACGGTAACTCGCGTTTGAATCTCAAAATATGTGGCCCACTACAGTCGGGGCACTTCGTAAAGGATTTTTTTTTTAGAGTGCAGCTCTTGGGTGCCCGTTTACGACTTGAGCGGCGTTGGCATCGCCGTAACCGCGCAGTGCATTATGGGTGAATTTCCCTGCCAAGTTTAGCGGAAAAGTTTCCCCACTAAATTTAGCGGAAAAATTTCCCCCTAAACGAGAGGAGAGGAAGAGGGGCATAGCCTCCTCATCGTACCTTCCCTTCCTCCTCCTCAAGAGCTGCATTCCAATTCGGTACTTCTATTATTATGTCACTATCGAAACTGAAGTTAATTGAATATGCGTACGCTAAATAAAACACCGTCTGCTAGTGACGTATGACAGTAACAGTGCTCAGTTAAATAATGCAAAATTCTTATTACCGCATTTAGAATGTATGAACTATCTCAGCCGAGGTGCCCACAATCTGACGGAGGCTTATTGCGGAGGAGGCGCCGTGTAACCAGGCCTTCGGTTGCACGTCAAAAGATTCCCAAATGGTCGAAATTAATCCTCAATCCTCCGCTGAGGCGTGCCAGATGCCCGTTGTTGGTTTGGCTCGTAAAACTCCCAAATGTGACTTTTAGAATGTATGAACTTCGACTGCTACTTCAGCTGAGAGATGAATTTCATTTTTGAAGCGGTCTATTGTTTTCTCTAGATTTTAACGCTGAAAACTCACATTTTTTAAGGCATAAAGAAACGTCTTGTGGCTGCTGGCAAGCTCAAGTCCCTTGCGGCACTCCAGGACTGGGTGCAGCCCATCGTAAAGCACCTATACTGGTGTGCCGAATCAAGTGAGGAAGCGCCAGACGAAATCCTCCCCAAGTGGGCATCTCTGGTGGGACATGTGGCAGACATCCACGACCATGCCGATCCTACCTACCCCAAATGCCAGCATGGAGACCTGGGGAAGAAGAAGTGGCTTCCAGAGGGTAAGGGAACCTCAGAGCACAATGAAGGTTCTGATATGGGAACGCTCCATTCCGAGATATATATTGTGAGGTAGAGAGGACAACAATGTTGGCCACCGGGTTTATCTGGTCAAACAGAACAGCAAATTACTTGTGCATCTATATATAAGGGTCTGAACTGGCCATAGCTTGACTGATGGCTAAACTCTTGCAGTAATAGTAGCTTTCAGTGTCTGGTACGGTCGTCCTCAAAATGAGCGTAAACAGGCCGCCGTCGACCGATTGATACTGCCAACTCTAGCTAGGGGCGCTTCCCCGAATCACTGAGAGTAAGCACCTGCACAGAAAGAACGAATGCGCTTTTGCGAGAACGCACTGTACCCACTTTTTCACGTTACTTTGCATAAAGCGGGGCGTGCCGCTTCATATATTTATCAAGGTAGAGCGGTCGGTGTGGACGCGACTTGACACACACGCTCTGTTCTTTTAATCTTGCTTCGTGCGTTACCTTTTCGTGAATGAGGAACTAATAATCGTTTCATTACTTTCTTTTAGGAGGCGCCCAGGTGTTTATGAATAGGTATTTTATTGTATAACGAGTCTTCATTCATACCAACTTCAAGACCTGTTGATAATGCCCGTTCCCTACTTCGTTGTCAAACAGATATTGCTTCTATTATCAAGAGTGATTAAAATCGTGCCGAAACACGCAAACTACACAGCAGAATTTGTCGTTCGAAAGCACTGCCAGTGGCAGATTGGCTATCGCAACCAGCATTTGCAACTATCTGTAAAATGAAACAGACGTTCCACGGGCGGTTTTACAATTCCAGAACGAGGGTGACACACGCTAATGCAACAGCGTTTCAGTTTCTACTGCAAAGGTGCTTACTCTCACTGTGATTTGTGAGAGCGCCGCTAGCTGGAGCTGGCAGTACCAGCCGGCCGATGGCAGCCTAGTTCACGCTCATTTTGATGACGACTGTACCTTTGCTGTAGTAAATATCGCTAATCACAGGGATTGGCGAGTTTATCGCGTAGGAATTTTCAGTGTGTTTTGTGATTTCCCCTTGTTCTTCCTATTGTATTCTTTGGAAGTTAGATTGTTGCATTTAGCTTTACCAACCTACTAGTTATTGACTTACTCTTATTTGTATTAATATTACTGTTGTAGGGACGACATTCATAACAAAGCATCTGTAATAAAATTTATTTTATACAGGGCTTCCAGCACATGACAAGCTCAAGAGCATTGTGCTCTCTAAGGCTCTGCTGAAGGACATACCACACCTATCGACTTCGGCACAGACATTTTCTACCGAGTGCTTTCATAGCACATTAATTCAGTTTGCGCCGAAATCTACACACTTCGGCTATCAGAGCATGACGGCAAGGTATACAAGCCCATCAGCTTTCTCCTTACAAATGCTTACTAAAGCCTTTACTTTCCAGAACGTATGTGGCAGCATTACATTTTAATGAAAATGGAAGTAGGCCACAAGCCACCACAAAAGAGGGCAGCAAAAGGTGGCTGCTAAAGTGCCCCAAGCAGACCAAGAGAGCGGTTGTTGCTCCCACAAAGGGGCCCTGCACGTACGGTGAGCATGTCCACAGAGTATAAGTGTCAACTCCTAACATGTAGCCCCAATTTCAGTCTACGTCCGTGAGCTGCTGGAGGAGGCCCTCAGCTTGAACTCGCACTACGCATCATACAGAGTTGCAAGGGAGGCACACACCACCGAGACTCCCCCACCTCTGTCGAGCGGGTATGAACGACCCGACAAGGAGACCCTCATCTTGAGCCACCAGACACGGTTTAACTGTTAAGGGGAGACACCCCCTGGGAGGGTCAACTTTTGAACCCTTGGCTTAAAATTAATGAAATTTACAGGGTAGGCTGGTGGTCATGCTAGAGGGTGGATAACAAAATTTTAGGTCCGTCGGTTAAGTGGGAAGGAAATTAGGGCAGCTTCTATCAGCAACACCCCTACACTGTTTAGTTAATCTATCGTCAGAAAACTATCACAATATTAAAGATTTTTATTCTTTAGATATGTAGCAGAATGCCTAGGAGGTGCGCCTATGGAAAGGTTTTTGTAAAAAGTAATTGATTTCTATCAATCTTCTCTTCTGCGAAATTGGTCAACTTTTTGGTCTTCTGTGTCTCCGACAAAATGTCAACATTTTTTATAAAAGACATCCGTAAAGTGACAAACAAACTCCATAGGCGCATTCCTTCTTAAATTTCAGTCAGGAAAAGGGAAGAACGAGCCTTGCCTGTATTTCCATTCTCAAACGATAGATTGACTAACATGGAATCTATACAAAAAAGTGGAACGGAGAGAAATGTGTTCAAAGTGCTCCAAATCCTACCTTTCCTTTAGCTTTGGTTGACATAAAATAATTTATAAAAAATTAACTATGCAGTGTAAACTAGTGAAAATTTCTGTGAATACTCTCTGGATGTAGATGGATGTAAATATGTAATTTTTCAAAATCAATGTTTTTTAAAGAATCTTTTTTCTCCGGGTAGTGTCCCCTCTTAAGAGACCAATTTGCAGTGGTGGTCCAATAGACCATTTGCTATATCCCCCAAGCGCCCCGGCCCGCACTAAAAGAATCAAGGAAACGGTGTTCCTTCAGCTCCTTAGTAATTGGTAATTTCGACCACATCCTTGGTTACACAGGTCTTGAGCGTAATTCGGAGTCACCCTGAACAAGCGGCCGATATACGCCAATGGCTTGTCATATCGCCTTTAAAATTTCTCCTCAATGTCAGCGTTTTTGATACTGTGCATGCTGTCCACCCTTCAACCTGGATGAGCTGCAGAAATCTCTTACATTATCATTCTCAGGGGTGGAACGGCTGTGCCATTTCGCGGAAACTGTGCCACGGCCAATACCTTGTGCCATTATGCACCAAATCGCAAAACGTGCGCTTTTTTATTTTGCCTTGGTTTCGGTTTTTATTGATTCAACCGGCAACAGTGAGCGCGTTTAGCTTGGTCAGCCTTGCAATCCTTTCTTCTGTTTATTCTCCGTGTGTATCCCGAATCGGAAGCGCGCAAAAAAACTCGGGGGTCGGATTCCAAGCGCTACACCACCTGCGACTGGATTGTTATTCTTCAACCATAAGCGGTTAAGCAAGTCGGCCGAGGTGAGGTCGAGTCATTAAGCGTCAGATTGCCTGAGGCTCTGCGGCTTGGGATCTGGACGTCAGCCAGTTGAGGACACATGAGCAAAATATTCCTTTTAGTACTTCATTCTTAGAAGTTCAAACTGCATTCCCGCAAGGTAAATCATGACTTCATTGAACTGAAATGTGGTCAGATCCGAAACCTTGCCGGCCAGCAGCTCTCACGCAAGCGGTAGATCTGCCCGGCGTACTTTAACCTTGCTCCTGCTTATCGCTTCGAATACGATAACTCAATTAATCATGGTCTGCTGCTTCGATATCGAGTTGCACAATAGCATAAACTCGAAATTTGTTACCCTGTTCCTCCGCACAAGTGTGCGTCTGTTGTTATGCATGTCACGTGGCTCGCACATATAATTACTAGTATGTCAAGCACATGTGAATTGTGCGATAAGCAGTGGTTTGCATTTTGAGCAGCTGAAGGCCACTCAGAAAATATCAAGGACACTATCTTCAGAAACATACAACACTTGCTTTTTGGTACTCATTAAGGCTCACAAAGTTTCAAGTTTTCTTATCTATTCCACTGTTACCCCATCTACCTAGGTTCCTAACCCCTCATGTTCATCTGTGTTGCTAAGCACAATTGAAATTGCTCCCGTGCTTGTCTAAGGCACAAGCTGAAGTGCAATGAAAGCTGATCTGGGCTGCTCCTAGCCCGCTCCAGAATGTAGTTTTAGCTGCTCCCAACCTGCTCTAAAACAGCTGTTTCAGCTGCTCCCAAGTACATTTCATGAGTTCCACCTCTGCATTCTCATACAGCTTCAAAGACGATATTAAGTTAGAAACGCTAAAAAAATGCTATAAACAGCCCCGCATACTCCGAGCTATATCCTGTTTTTTGTTGTGAATTCTCGGCTTTTTAAGCAATTCCTGCTAAAAGAACAATCACAAGAATGATAATATTGCAAGAGATTTCTACAGCTCAACCAGGTTGAAAGGCGGATCGCATGTACAGTATCAAAATGCTGACATTGACAAGAAACTTTAAAAGTGATATGACAGGTCCTTGGGGTACATCCGGCGCTTGTTCAGGGCGACTTCAAATTACGCACAAAAACTGTGTAACCATGGAATTGGTTAAAATTGGCAATCACTAGGGAGCTGAAGGAACACCGTTCCCATGATTTCTCAAGTGCGGGCCGGAGCACTTGGGAATACTGCAAATGGCTGATAGACACTATGCTAATTTACCGAAGCATAAAGGTGCTTGCAGAGAATGTAGGTACAGTGCGCTTCAAACTTAACGCCGCCACGGCATTTGCCGTTTCTGACAGTCCCTGCTGCGGCCTATTGAACTATCTGAAGAATGTTTGGGTTCCCAATTTTACCCGATCCTGGGAAGGCATCCCGACCTTTGTGGTGGGTCGAAATTGATGCGCGCCTGGATACGCACTCCCCAGTTAAGGGGTGAAAGAAATTTTAATCTAACGTCTTCAAAGTCAAGTGCAGTTTTAGCCGCAAGGAACTGCTAGTTTTAATTAAATGTGTACAAAAAGCATATTGTCGTTATGATTTATGTTGTAAATAAAAAAACTGATTCATGATGTGCACAATGTCTGTCTATAATAGAAAATGAACACTATACCAACACTATGCAATGATTGTTAGTAAATAACACTGGGCTTACGTGAAGCCTGGTAACTTTTGTCCATTGGCCATTGATGGGAAATAACAAACTCAACTCGGAGGGGTGCTGGACTGAAATTTATATTTCACAAAACAGCGCAGGAACACTAGGTAGGGCGCTACAAACCTTACCTCACCATGCAAAGCGATATCTCAAATGGATAGCAGTATTTTGAAAGAAAAAATTGCAATTGAATGAGGCAGACGAGGCATGTGACATAATCTCATTTTTTCTTCTTGCTTTGCCTCCTCTCTTCAGCTCTTCTGAAAAAAAAACATTCACACCTCTCAAACACTTTTTTTTCTTCCAAAAATATGGACGCTTGTTGGAGATTTCGCTGTAGATACGAGTGATTCTTTGGTATTTGTTACATTCCGTCAGAGTTCTGGCGCCGTTTTGTGAAAAAGCCTATGTGCAATTAACATACAATGTGTATTATCACGAACAGTACGAGAGGGAACACTTGATCTGTCTTCTTGCTAGGTTTACGGGTCCCACAACCTCCATTATCTCCCAACCTGTCAAAGAATACGTAGGCTGGGATCTAAACTTTGCCATCTCTAACCTTCGTCTAGACAATAACTTGTTCAGAACTTGCAGATGAGTAAAAAGGTGTAGATGTCTGTTTGCAATAGCACCTGGCACTGTTTTACAGTTGTAAGAACTTCTAAGCTTGGGTGCGTACACACATGCAGTAGTGATCAGACAACTGCACTCCTGTATCATTAATAGGAAACTGTGCCGAAGTGCTACAAAAGTATGCTGGCACTGCTTCAAAATTTTAATATCCCCAATACAATAGCGCTCCAAAACGAAATCTTTCATCGTCCACATAATGCTCAAAAACAGGGGGTCGGCAAACTTTTTCAGCAACGGGCAGAGTCTCCACAAGTGCAACGCTGAGCAGGCCGAACCGGGGAGGGGGGTAAAACAAATACAGTTCAACCCGTTTATAACGAACAGCAGGAAATGCTACGATCAGTTCGATATAGCAAAAAACATTTTCAACGAACTTCCACGACACGTTCGTTGTAAGGCAAGAGCCCTTCTCTTCCTTTCCCGTCTCAACTTCCACCTTGTAACAACATGCTGGAAACTTTTTCCTTTTTCTTTTTTTTGCATGTGTGCAGAGTTTGCCTTTTTAGCTTATCTCTCCTTTTGAAGAGCTTCTCTTCGTGGGCAACCGTTTTGGGACCAAACCTTTTTTTCTGTGCTTGCATGCAGTGTATTTTTTAGCTTTCTGCCCCTTCTGAATCTTTTCTCTCCACTCAATTATGTTTGCAACTTGAGGTTTTGCAATTTTCTTTCTTTCCTACTTTTTTGGGGAGGAAGCAACAGGCTAGAAGACAATTTTTTGTGCTTTTTTTGGAAACCTTCTCGGGGGGGGGGGGGGGGGGGAGGAAGTTTGATATAGCCAATATGTTGTTCGTTATAAAAATTACTTTTCATGTGCATTTTTATTTAAATTTTCTGCAAGTTCGATATCAACAATAATTCAGTTTGTGAGTTCCCTTTAAACGGGTTTCACTGTACTACAAAAAAATTTACAGGAGTTCAGACTGGCATGAATAAATTGAAAACAAATGTTTTCATTTAGTCATGCTATAGTGTGACCCTCGGTTTGGGTGCTGGATATTGGAAAAATGCAACCACACGCATTAGAGTTGCTAATTGAAGGTTGTGGAAAGAATAATGGGAGGAGATTCTTGAACTCTGATCATAACATGAACCTGCTAGTTGCTTTAGCAAGTGGAGGTGCAGTACATACTCTCTGGGCTAAGTTCTCGTGCAGTCCTTGAGATCTGGGAGGGCAGGACGGGTGGGGCACGATTTCTATAATAGTACCGGGGGGCCAGATGAAACTGCCTCGCGGGCCTGTGGGCCACCAGTTGCCGACTGCTGCTCTAAATCGAACTGGCTGGACCACCACTGGACCTAGATAAGGGAAGGCTTTTATTTTCATTATAGTAACTTTTTATTCATTGTTGGCAATTTAATAATTGTACTGTTTAGGTTTGCGAGCTCTGTTTCAGTTGCAAGTGATTGTTAGTATGGTGTGTAGAAGTTTTATGTCGGAACTTGGTTGACATAGAGAATCGCTTTTCCGTATGCAATTCTAATGCAAACAGACTTGACAGAAACATGGGCCTGAGAAGGGTTCTGACCTGTGAAAGGGGACTCAGAGTGGTAGAGTCATACCAGCAATGAACACAATTTTTTTGTTCCATGAAAAATATTGACTTTTTTATAGGAAGCAGTTCACCTAGACACGGCACATGCCTCTGGAAGCCCCCCACTTTTCCAAAACCACACACTGTATTACATCAATCCAGTATTTGCACGATCTGAACGCGTTCCCGACGCTACTATGGAGCTGAAACGATGGAGGCTGAACACCGATACCTCGTACAGCACATTTTATGAATGCACTTACACAAATTAACAGAATGTTAAGGACTATAGTCTTACGATGAAGAATAGCAGGTGAAGTCTCTCCCTCTCTCTCCAGATTAGTGGAGTCAGTGCTGGAGAGGGGTGAGGAGGAAACCCCCCATCCTGGTGAGGAGCAATGGTTTCACTTTTCCACCTTTCCTGCCATTTATAGCCTGCAACAGACAATAGTCATTGTTGCAGTCTGAAAGGGCTTGTTTGTTGCTGTCCAGAGATCGCAGAGAGTAGTCCTTGCTTCCACTAAGCATTTGAGACGAAAACCCTTTCAAAGCAGTCGCTGTCTTCTCCAATCATGCATGCACATTTGAAAGACCTCCAGGCATGCGACCAAAGTCACTCACTCGG